TATTTAAAGGTTTAATACGTTCTATCAAAATGTTCAGCAGAACATTCCACCAGAGAAGCCGATGCCTATTTCTAAACATCCTACAATACCAATTTCACTTTTAACGGATCCCTTCGACTTTGAATTATCGTTCAGCATACAGCGGAGCTCAGTAAAAGGCAAAACGTTCTGCTGTACGCTGTGCACTCAGGCCTCACACTCGCGCTTGCGATTACAGGTTGCGTGAGCGGTTGGTTACGTATACGCCCCATGCTTATGTAGTCATTCCAGAACGAATTCGTAAAGTATACGCCGCGTATATCCATGATTTACTTGTTGTTTTATGTGGTTTGCTACAGGGAACTGTTAAATGTTTGTGATGTGCCTGTAAATAATTTGTCTCCTATCTCTAACCTGAATAAGAAAAGTATGTACTGAAGATTTGAAGAAATATAAGAACCAACTTTAACAAATGTAAAAGTACATATTATTATTGAAGCTACAAAGAGAGTATCCTGGCAATAGCTCTGCGGAAGAGTAGAAACCACAAATGAGGTTAAGGCTCAGTCTTTTGAGGACAGATGGCTTTTAGATGATCTCCAGCCAGGAGTGCCTTAGAAGTTTAATTGAAACCCATTTTCCAGGTAACACAGACCAAATCTCTGCTACTCAAGCAGCAAATTGGCATCGTGTTCTATTAGATGAGGTATCAGGTTTTGTGGATAGGCAAAAAGTAGTACATACTCACCACAACACCCATGCTTTAAGGGTAGATTTAATGAAACCGTGTTTGAGGAACTGGTAAGTAGTCTTGAGAAATCGTTAGAATCCCAAAAATGCACTTGCATGCCTTTCTAGATATTGAAGGAGCTTTCATTAATATCCAAATGGAAGCAATAAGTAGGACACTTGTGAATATGGTATTCAGCATTCTAGCGATATCTTTAGGTAGAATAACCAAAACAGATTGGTTGTTCACCGCTCATAAAATGAACTTTACGGGGAAAACCAAATACAACACTCTTTCTCTGCCGAAATTAGAGGTAGCTGCTTTGCATCTCTCCTCCGAGACAAAATACTTATCTTGGTATCATTCGTTATTCCAAACTTAGCTGGAAAAAAGTGGAGGAGAGAGCGGGGAAGGGTCTATCAACATATTACACGTACAACAGTACTTTTGGAAAGCGATGGGGACTGCTACAGTAATTCTCCTCGGATATGTATACCACAGTCATCAGATAACAATTGGCTCAGTAGGTTAATGCCGTGAAAAATTGTTCATAATTTCTCTCTTAATAGGAACACCGGTTAGGTGAATGACTCATTCATTTCCTGACACTCACTTGAAGAGGACAACAATGTCTCAGAGTGAAAGTATGGAACATTCCATTCACGCCCTCCTAACCTAGCCTAACCTTATAGCATAACTCCATCATCACAAAACCTGGTCACATGCATAGGCATATATTAGGTTGTCACTGAATATACTAAAATATTAAAATCAATTATTTAAAAATGTAAACAAAATATTACTGCAATGGGGGCGTCAAACGAAAGGGGTTCAACAAAAATGTATATGGAAATTGATTTGAATAGAGCTGCCACCTTTTCAAAATGTTGAAGTCAATTTAAATAACAAGTTAAATAAAATATTTTAATATGGGTATTTATTACGAACATTTTTTTGATGTGGGTCACCACCTGTTTAGATATTTAAAATTAATTTAATTAGCAAGTTAAAGAAAATATTTTAATACGGGTACGTACATATATCTAACGGGAAATACTTAAGAAATCTTGAATTCGAAAATATTTTTTAAGAGGGCTGCCACCTGTGTAGAAATTCAAAATCAATTTAAGTAACAATTTAAATGAAATACTTTGATATGGGTGTCAAACGCGAGATTTAGTAGGCATTATTTCTAAACTATTATTAAAGAGGGTTGCCACCTCTTTTAAATGTCAATTCTTTTTTCTTAGTTAATTGAAGTGTTACTTCGAGGTACCGATCTGACGTATATACAACGAATTATTTCGACAGCATTTTATAATTGTGCTACCACATTTCCAAAATTTATGAAAATCACTGAAACGGCTGAATTCTTAAAAAAAAGACCCCGACCATGCAGTGGCATTCTGACAATCGCAGCGCAAAATTTCCGTCGCCAAAATTTTCTAAGCGGAAATCGGCAAAATCTGGCAATATGAGCGACATGTAGGCAGGCCGTCGATAGAAAACCCGGGCCCGGACGGAAAAATCTCGGGCCCCTGTACATAAATTGTATTAATTTAAAAGCATATTATCAATTGAGAGTTTTTCATGTAGGGTTTCTATACCGAAGGTGTAGTTTCTAGCGGGAATATCGAAAAATATTTGTTTCTATAATGAATGTAATTTTTTTTTATTGAAATGTTAATTATAAATATAATATAAGCCTTGTGTAAGTCTTGTGTGTGGTTAGTCGCGTCAGCTATTCTTTTGGAGATTTTTGACGATCAAAATTACCAATGGCGAATGCTGGAATCCGACTGCTGCGCTATAATTTGTATATCTAGTAGAATCTAAAGGAAAGGAACATTTGTAACATTTGAGGGCATAACGTTAAACCGTATATCATGCGGACAGGGTTGCGGACAAAAGCTAGAATGAAATGGCTATTTTTTCCTCCTTCGTTCCACACAGTACCTAGTCAATAGAATGAGGCTTTTTTCTGTACCAAAAATAATTATTATTCCATTACATAAGTTTCTTACCATTTAATACGCCCACGCCATTCAACTAAAGGTGTAGGTAGTAAAATAAGCAATTCATATATTTTTTTTTAATTTTATATCATAATTTATTTCATTATTATTACACATAATTTCTGTCAGCTATGATTTATGATTCACTTCTTTCATTTCCGTTTTTTTGTTCGCTTATATGGCGAATTCTGTGTATACTCTCACTTCTACCATTTGCAATTATTATTACTTTAATAGTTATTATTACTGTTTAAATTTAATAATATTCATTTGTTTATGTACAAAAAATTACCAACTACGCTAAACAATTTTTTTATAGTTTATCATTCAAGATTATCCTAATCACAATCTAATGATTTTTTCTGTTTGTTTTTGTTTTTCATTAATATAACTTTTTTCGAGTTTATTTTTTTAATTTATGTATATGTATGTTTGCACTAATTTTAACATAACATTATGAAAAATGCTTAGTTATAAATTTATGGTTGTATGTATGTAGTTATACTTGTATATCTATGTCTGTATGTATGTCTGCATTTCAGTGAGTATGAATGGCATGTATGTATGTATGTATGTATGTAAATATGTGGTGTCATATACGACAATGAGGATGGATGCAATGCAATTCTTCTGGCGATTTATACGAGTATGTATGTAAATATGTGTGACTAAAATTATTTTTTAATAATCGTTAAATATGTAAATAAGCTGCCTTTTAATAACATAAATATGCTTGTGTGTATGCAGCTTAGCACGCACAACGGTCAAATTAAAGTGTTATTGTATGTGGGTCAATCCATGTCGAATCGACCAATGAAAAAATATATTTTTTTTTTTTGGTAGTTAAAAATTTCACAATTTCCCGAATTTTGCAAGTTTTTTTTTTTAATGTCTCAAAAACTGCATATTGTAATTACAAAAATTGTTCTGGTGATATTTGGGGCTAAAAATATATATATATGTTTTTAAACAAAAGCTCGAAAAATAAAAAATTACAGAATTTTTAAATTTGAAAAATCTTTAAGCAAAAGCTTTTGTTAATTTTTGACCAAACTTTTTTCACACAGTGCTTCTAACTGATCTTAAAATATCCTGAAGGTTGCAAGGTGTTTACTTTAAGAAAAAAAATTATTGCAAACTCTAAATTAAAAGTTAATTCAAATTATCAGCCGAATTCTGAATACTCCCGAGCAATTTGTTCTCCGGGAATTTGTTCCTCCCGAGAAAGAAATCATACAATAATTAACTACCAGGGAGTAGCATTATCCCCGAAAATTTGGAGGGACGAAATTCGCACTTCGAAAGAGCTGTTGACACTTTTTTTTGACACAGCTCAAGTCTGTTATTTAAAACAAAAAATCCTTAGGGAATTTTTATTCATAATAGGAGCAAAGGGAAAAGAAAGAAAACTCCCAGGGAGTTTCTGTTCAGAATCTGCCTGTGTATATAAATTGTATAACATAATATTATTTAGGGTTTGCAAAAAAAAATAAAACTTATTAAAATTTATATCTTAAAAAAAACACATTCTTTAAGATCAGTCGGAAGTCGAAAATTCTTATAAGGATTTACTTTTACGATTTTATTACTTTCAAAATTCTGTACTTTTTTAATGTTTCGATTTTCTTATATATATTTTCTTTACAGCCCTAACACATAGTGGCACCATTCAATTTTCACTGCCTAATAAAATTTCAAATTGATTGGTGAAACTGGGGATAAATATCAGGAGATTTCAAAACAATAGCAGGCGCGCCTAGAAACACGCAACATCTAGTTAAATGCTCTTCATACTGCCATATTTGGCTGAATGTACATTGCATATGTTACTTTTTTTTTGTTGAATATCTGTAGGTTCCCACTACTTTTTTTAGAGAATTTTGGCGACGAAAATTTAGCGTAGCGATTGCCCAAATTTCACTGCAGAAGCATTTTTGTAACTGTAAAAGTTTTTGAGTTGCACAAAAAATAAACTAGCTAAATCCCGGAAATTGTGACTTTCAAAAAAAAAATTTTTTCTTTTCGTTTAACAGAACGTTGTTAAATGTATGTATGATAAAACAAAAGTATGATCAAAATATATTTTTATTTATAAAAATGGTCGATGCCAACCATTTGACCATTTGATATAGATTGACCCATGCACATATGTATGTATGTATGTATTTTTTTGTATATTTAAATGTAGGCGTATGTGATAGAACTGTGTGATTTATGTACATTAAAATTATAATAATTTATGATGAAAAAAGGTTTCGTTTGGTGTTTTTTTTTTGTTTTAATACCGAAGTAAACCAGTATGTATTATTTTTTGTAGCTGTGTTCATATGGGGATGGTTATCTACTTGGAGTACGAATGAAAAGCGCAAATTAAATTATATACACTGGGAGTTCAAATTAAAAACTTAAATTATTAAATTTACCTAGGTTTGCAGATATTGAATAGATTACACTATATCGGGCAGTCTTTCGACTATATGGTGGCAGGTAGAGAAAAAGTCATGGTGACAGTTAATATACAAAAACTGGGTGTGCTTAGAAAGGGAATAGTAGAAGTCATAAATACAAAATTTCACGTCATTTACTCACGCACGCGAAAGGTATACATTTCCAAAAATTGGGACCACATATTTTAAATTTAGGCCGCCCTTTACGCATGCAAAACGACTAGTATAGGCATGAAACGTATAGTGCACTGAATAAACACAGCAGTCGTATATCCTACATTATTCTACGACGTCACTGCCATCACTGGATAAGCCGCCCACTAATTCTAAACTCACCAAGAGCGCTGCCATCCACGTTCACTAAAGCCCTGGAAACACTCCAAAACTTTCTGTCCGTAGACCTCTTTGGTAAGCTTCAGGCAAGCGGCATTGCGGTAAGATGAAATGCACTGTCAAAATGGAAAGACACCAGATTCGGTCATACTAACATTCTAACCAACTATCTCGATATTTTTAAGTTGCCAGACTACAAAATACCACCTCTCGAGCTCAACAGCCAAGTATCTTTTCGAAGGAAGCACCCTATTTGACGTCAACTCTTTCTGGCCAAGCCAAGAATAGACTTGCCGGGGCAATGAGAGCTGCCGCGACAAGGAAGAAATTTACACTGGCACTGACCTGCCCTATCGTGGGCAAGAAGACGCTCATTTCACCGTCACTTCTTTGTCTGTCTAGCGGACCAAAGCGAAGGAGGCATTCATGAATTCCTGCGCTTTATTAACCTACCAAGCCTTACGCATCCATCTAACCGTAAATATTTGCCCAAACCAATTACCTTTGCACTTTCAAAGCCGGATGACCCGTGTAAAACATAAACCTGGTTGTGAACTTTCTAAGGCCTAGTCACAGAATTAATAAGGCTGTGTTCAGAAATGCATCAAGCCAAAGCATCAGTATCTGCAACTGAGTTCCAACTCGGTATTTAACCGTGGTGGCGCATATTGGACATTTCAATCAAATATAGTTTAGAAATTAAAGAGACTCCTGCTTTGGCTTGATGCATTTCTGAACGCACCGTAACCCTTACCCAGGTACGGCGTGTCTGCCTATACGGACGACACTGTTTGACCACCACTAACCAATTATGGATACGAAGCTGAAAACGACAACACTACTTATATGAAGCAATCCTCAAAACAGAGCCGACAAAAGCAATAACATCCTCTTCGACTAGAGCCACGGCACACTCGGATTATTGTAAAAAATTGCCAATCACACTCTGCTACGCGGAGTCCAAAGGCTAATTCCCCTAGCAAAAGTGAAACAAAGTGGGGCCAACCCAATGCTAACGAGCATCCTTTGCTTCTCAGCAATAGTTATACGAACAGCGCCTAGTGTGCTTGTGTCGAATGTGCATAAGGCCAGGTTGCTAACCTGCTGCTGGATCAAGTATTGCACCATAAAACTGCTTTCTCAGATAATCCGTCAAAACCGACGCTCGTGGTTGAGGCAACCAGCACAGGAGCTTGTCTGAAAGTTGTTGAAGCCCGAAATTACCTTCTCAGCGATGAATATAAGGGCGTTTGTTTTGTTAAAATGTTTCGTTTTAAACTTAGTATCACACACAAGTATGTATGATACTTGCCAAGTGCAAAAAGCTCGGAATCCTCAAAAACCTTAAATCAATTGTAGAGGCGACGCCCAAGGTAACGAGTACTTTGATTTGTTGTTCTGAGAAAATTTGTATGTCAGCTAAGAAGAAGCAGGCAGGAAGAAGCGGTCCCATCGTTCCCACGACAGTCGGGTCTACGTAACCGGAACGACCCAGATTTATATCTGGCCAAGGACTGTCACTCCAGCAACACTCCCCAAAAAGTCTTTGGGGAATTTGTATGCTGCTACAATAACAACAAAGCGGTCCCATGGTGGAACGCTGAATTTACCAAACTCCGTAAAAGGTCTAGGAGTTTTCTGAATAAGGCATTAAAGAGGCAAATTCGCACGTTAACATTGAGCTATTATAGACTTCTGTAGTGATATCGACAACATGAAAAGGTCTCTGACAGACGACCGGATGGTTGGCTGGATTCACTCAGAAAACTAGGAAAAAAAATTTGCCGGTTAGCAGATTAATTGCTGACGCAGAGATACTTAGAGGGATAGCGCGACGGGAGGAGTCACCAGACCAACCTAGTATATAGCATCAAGGGTGGTGACTGAGGAGTCATTGATGTTTTCTTTGGCCTCTTTTGAAGATTTTATGTCACCGAGCCCAGTTGGTGTGTATCCGATGCATATCCGAAAGTGTGGGCGAGATAGACTTATAGGAGCTCTAATAAAAGTTGTTAGGACCTGTCTGCAATTTGGCCACGTTCTCACAATTTGGAGGAAAGGCAGGGTAGTTTTAATTTCTAAACCGAGAAAGGATAACTATGCGCTGGCAAAAAGCTTTAGGCCAATCAGTGTGGCATTCGTTATGCTGAAAAGTTTGGAGCGTACGGTCGAAAAGTACGAGTACCCTAATGTACATACATATTTAGTATTTCTGATTGATTTTTAATTTTCGTTTGAATGATACATAAAATTTTAATTTCTTTGGTTATGCGTGCTTCGTACATATGTATGTATGTGGTATGTTTTGCGATTGCAACAAAAAAATACGAGTTTCAGCTTTCATTGCATTTTCATTTGAATATTTGTATGATTGTATGTACTATACATATGAGTGTATATGTATGTAAGTATGCAAGAATTCGTGTACGTATTATTTTTATGGCTTACATACTTAAGAAAATTCGTTACAAATAAAAAAATGGACTTTTACAATTGCAAATGTTTTATGTATTTTTTCTCTTTCTTTTTTTTTGTAACAAACAATAACTTTGGTTTCATTCATATCTATTTATATGTCTATATCTATTATATGTATGTATGCATACGATTTTTGTTTTTCATATACTATTTATAAACAATTTAAATGAAGTTACTATTCTAAATTGATCTTCTAATGCGAGAAAGTTGGCCCAGCTGAAGAAGCTAGTTAAAATGGAGAGTAAAATGTAGATGGATGAGGGAAAAATGCTATTAAAAATTGAAAATGTAAACGATATGCGTAAGTATGTATGTAGTTCTGAAACCTTTGTGAGTAGTGAGCAGTAAATGAATAAATGGAAATTCGAAAATGGAAAAAGGCAGAGCTTATTGGAGCACGAGCGTAAGAGGCACGAGAAAATTGCATGAGATTATGCTGGTGATTCGAGTAGTGATTTCAGGAATGCTTTTTAAGTAATAAAATAGATTTTCGTATTGGGAATGAACGTTGTTGCTGCAGTTGAATTTGAGAACTATGTAGATTGTGACACATTTTTTGTTGTTGTTAACAAATTTTATGTTTTTTTTTAATGGAAAACACATGAGTACAAAATAATTGAATTTGAATTTCGCGCTGCAGTATAACCGCGCAGTGGAATGAAATATCTGAGTTTGTCTTTATGAGTCCAAAATTCTGGGCCCTTCATTGTAGTCATTTGGTTAACTAATTGACGCATCCAAAATGGAGAATGTAAAGAGAATGCACATTTTGGTCTGTTTTTATAAATGGAGTACCGATAGGTATGTAAAAAGTGAACCTGATTTAAAAATCTAAGTAAACTTGAAAAATTCAGTGGAGACGAACACAAAAAATATTATTTTTTTTTTAATATTTGCGACTTTTCTCATTCCTAAGCTGGAAAGGCCATAAAAATCCCATAAATGTTGACACGTTGACGGAAATGTCTAGTTTTTTTTCAGAAAAATATAGAAAAAAAAGGCCAGTTATAGATTGCTACTTGAGAAACCGGCACTTTGTGCATCAAAGGGGCTACGCATCGGTCGCTCGGCCCGAACAAATCGAAATCAACAAATTTTTAGTAAAAAAAACTGTGCAAACATATTTTAAGTACAATGAATAAATACTTTAAGAAATTTGTTTTAAAAAATTACGTAGGTACATATCTATCGAATTTTGAAAAATATCCTTTTTTATTGAATTACTTGAACTTTTTTAACTTTTTCACCTTTGAAAAAAAAGTTTTAATTTTAAATTAATTTATTTTATATTGAAAATAAATCATCAACAAATTCATAACAAAATTTTTCACATAAATTTTAACCTATACATTAATTTGATTTGAAAATTCTTCTCTGTTTACAGAGTACGACTCGAAATTTATTGCATTTATAAAAGATTATTTAATGAGCTGAATTTTTTCACTCATGGCAGAGGCTGAACACATCTTTAATGAAAAGCCTAGCAATTTTCGTAGATTTTTGAATTCAATGATACCATATTTGTAGGTTTAACAAAAAATTGAACTATATATTGTTTTTTTTTCTCGAATATGTGCTAATACTTCAAATATTATACAAATAAAAAAAGTTAAATTTAAATAAATGTATTCCATTAACTTCTTCTTTCATATGGCTATCAAATTTTAATTGCTTTTAATTAATTTAATATTTCACTTCTTTCAAAACTCCGGCTTACGACCTTTCAGGCTCTAAAAATAATGAATTACGGACAAAAAATTATATTTTCTGCAACTTAAAAATTAGGTAGGGAGATGTCACTGCAACAACCTTCGAAAAATTCGAAACTTAGTTTTACAGTAAGAATTGGCAAATCGATTTCATAAAAATTTTTATAACTTAGAACAAAAACCTTAAAAATTATTTTATGAATCAAAATTATTTCAACACGTAAATGTTCAAAGGTCATATCAAGCCCTAACTACAAAAAAAAAACAACGTAAGATACATTTTTATGAAAAAAATGATGCTTTAGGACAATTCTGCTTCAAAAAGAAAACTTTGAAAAAAATTTATCTTACGTAGAGCTCGATATTTTTATCTTCCTGCCAAAGCTGAAGCAATATTTTATTTTAATTTGCTGTAAAAAAAAAACATGGTAAATCATTTGATTGGAATGAGCCAAATTTGAAGAACGCCTGCGATATTTATTATAAGCCGACACTCTCCTTTTTTAATCCACTGTGCAAACGCAACCAATAGAAATATCTACTGTTAACAATTGGTAATATTCAAAGGCTGTTTACTTCAAATAAACTAAAAAATTGCAATAGCCGTCATCGATTCGCCATTTCTCTGCTAGCTATGTTTGAGTTCCAGTCGCTTAACGAAAAAATTTGCATGTGAAAGTAGCAACAAACTTAGCTAGCAAAGATAGACGATAGCGAGTTTGGTTGTACTTCAATGATTTCGTTCGTTTCGCCACTCTCGAACTGTTACCGAGTCGATGACGGCTATTATAAGTTGAAAAAAATATTTATTTTCAATTCAAATTCAAGTAAAATAATAAAGAGCCGGCATACAAGTTTAAGTTTGGCTTCCTCAGATTTTTTTCTACGAGTAACGAAAATTCAGTGTCGTGATATTTTCATAAGCATTGCTTGAAGTTAAATTAATTCTAAAGTCGAGAAAATATAATTATGAAAATTATGACTGTTTTATCAGTTGCGAAAGTGATTGGATAATGTCAGTATTCATTCTAAAGGTAATGCCAACAGCTTTCCATGCAAATATAAAATAATTTGCTACCACTTCAGATTGTGGAAAAGACAATCGAACTCAGGGCCGAATCACGTCCTTCTTGATCAAATGGAACTCGGTGCAAATTTTAATTTTGAGAATACGGTACTCGATAACAAGTTCGCTTTTTTTTCTAATCTAAAATGTGTTTTAGAAAAAACAGCTGACATTTAATTTCATTCGATTCGAAGCGGGTAACCATTCGAACACGGATACCGTTATTCCGGCCTCTGGATTACATGGAAAGACAACCAAGAAAAAAGCTCAGAGGAATATCGAATCGCTAATCATCAGATAGGTAGTCATTCTTAATTTTTATTTAAAGGATAAAACATTAAGAAGGACAACAAATAGCGAGGTGTTCGGTAAACGACTTTCGATGTAAACTGGCATTAAGAAATTTTGTGGTTTAGGTAAAAAAAAAAGAGATGTTTGAGGATAAAGCAATTAAAACCGACATTCTTAGCCAATACAATATTGATAACATTTCCTGTTTTTATGTCAATTGAGATTTAATGGATTTCATAGCAATCAAAGGTTAGTACTTTTTTCAGAACGTAAATGCTAGTTAGTTAATTCAAAGTGATGCATGGGTATGTATGTATGTATAAGTAAGTAAATATTTAGTATGTCTAATAGACTGAAAACGTACATATACGTATGTATGTAGTGGTATACTAAAAGTAAATTGTATGTATAAATGCAGTACCATGTTTTTGCACACTTATTTTCATTTTCATTTAAACTTGTTACATAGTTTTTATAAGTATATAAACTAATTCTTAGAGCAGTATAAATTTTTTTTTTAGTAAATTTAGTTGCAATTATTCGGAAAAGTTTCAATAGACTTATAACAATATAATAAAACTTTAAAAGCTACATACTACGGTTATAAAAGGTTTAAAAAAGAAGCACTCGCGAGGGAGCGCAAAAACAATAAGAAAAAATTATAATGCAAATAATACAAATGCAGATAATTTACAATGAGCTTGATAGAAAGTGTGAGAGTAAGAGCGAAAGAGAGAGCGCTTAATCAGCGCAAAGAAAAACTTAATAAATGCCTTGAAAAATTACTTGGTGGTATGCTTGTTTTCGTACTAAAGGAAATTGTCAAAATTTTCCTATAACACCATACGACAGTCAATTTTACACATACAAAAAATTAATATATTCGTAATATTATGGGCCAAATATAGTAAAACTGCATTTTTAGTTTTTCTCTCTAGTCAGGACTCTTTTAAAGGACTTTGAAAGTTCAATGATTAATTTAAAAAATGCAGTGCAATGTGGAATATCAAATTAAAGAGTCAATTCTGTAAAATTAAAAACGATTCATTTTTTTTATGCATAAAGACGAAAACGTATTTATGGCAGAAGAAAAACTAAAGACGCCGATTGTTTCATGGGTTTTGATTTTATTTTTTTGTTTTTGTCGCGCGGTGTAATTAGCACAATAGGAAAATTAAAAATAATTTTGTTTGGTATGAAAACGAGCATACGATCCACTATTTACTCTTGTTTTCTTGCAAAGTTTTTTACAGATTTGTTTCTTTTAATTTTATAGATTTAACTTGCAGCTTGACTGACTTTTTATTTATGTATTTATTGTTGTGGTTGTTGTCGTTATTTGTTTTTAAATGCTTTTTTTTCATATAGCACAATTCATTTGCCATAAGCTTAAAGTTACATAAATACCTCTATATAAATTATAAAAGATTTCGCTTATCAAGTGTAAAATATGGTTTTTTTTTTGTTTTTGTGTTTTTTTTTTCTTTTTATCATATACTATTATAGACGTACGTATATAGCATACTCGTACTATATGTAATGTATATAATGTAGAATAGCGTTTAGTATGTAGCAGTATGTTCTTCTCTTTTTCTGTTTTATTTTCTTTAATATTCTTTTTTGATGTAAAAATTGTCTTTCAATTGTTACAACATTGACAATGTTAGCGCTCACATACATATGTGTACATATGTGTATGTAATACGCGTATGCACCTTAATTTGCTGCTAACCAACCATTTGCGCTACTCCAATTCTATTATTTTTTTTTTGTATTACTTTTTATTCAGTTTTTACTTTTTGCATAAGACTCCTTCCTTTACTCACATCTCAATTCAATTAAAAAGGCTTAAAATTAAAACTAGTTATCTTTATGTTTATGTATATGTGTATATCGCACTGGCAATAATGATGCAGCACTCGCTGCCGGCGCCGTCAACTCCCCACACGCTGCCGTTTCGAGTGCTCCGCAACTATCTACTACGCCCCCAAACTCACTGCTTAATCCTGCACTTCCCGATAGGGCACCTCTGACGTCACAGTGAACGATTCGAAATAGTGATTTAAGAATTCAAATGTTGGTCGTTTCTCCGGCACCGCATCCCAACATTGTAGTAGTAGATGATAAATATTATCGGGGAAATAATGATTAGTCGGTTTTGGCATGCGGAAGCCTCGTTCAATATTCTCAATCACTTCTCGGCTATGCATGCCTGGATATGGCACTTGTCCGTAGGTGAATAATTCCATTAGTAGAATACCATAAGACCAAACGTCGGATTTTATTGAAAATTTGCCATAGATTATCGCCTCGGGCGCAGTCCATTTTACAGGGAAGCGTGAACCCTGTTTGGGGCAGTATTCGTCATCGGCGATGACACGCGCCAAACCGAAATCACAAATTTTGGCAACATTATTCTCGCCGATTAGTACATTACGTGCGGCCAGATCACGATGTATTAATTGTTTCGATTCGAGATATTCCATGCCGGATGCCACTTGTGTGGCTATGTAAATAAGATCTTCAAAGTGTAAATAACGGCCATCACCTTCACGCAGGAAGTCCAGTAAGCTGCCTTTGGACATGTACTCCTGCACAATGTAAATGGGTTCCTCCTGCAAAAAAAAAAAAAAATGAATAAAAGCGCAAGAAAATTCATGAGCATAGTTCGACATAATTATGCTAATGCAGTCACTCTCCACTCCGTGCACTTGCACTTACACTTACCTGTGAGCAGACGGCATATAATGCCACCAAACGATTGTGTCGAAACTTCTTCATTATAGCTGCCTCTTGCAGGAATGCCTGTGTTGACATGGTGCCTTCGCGCAGCGTTTTCACAGCGACGTCAATGTTGTTGCGCCATTTGCCGTAGAACACCTCGCCGAAGTTGCCACGTCCCAATTTGCGTATTAACTGAATTTCGGAGCGTGGTATCTCGTACTTGTCACGCAATTCCGGTCCCAAATCCCACATTTGCGGCTGTGGCTTCGGACACGGACGTGACAGAATGTGGCAAAGGCCAAGTGCATTTTCTGCGGAAATTAAAACCAATTTAAGTTGCACAAATTCACAGAGTTTACGTTTGTATTGTAGTGAGTTGGATGTTTGTGCATACAATAGAAGTCATATAAAGGTTACCAAGTGCTGAATAATAGAAAGTAACACTGGGTTACAACAAAAATGTTCCAAGGATTTAGATTTATTTAGAATTTTTGGCTGATTCCGAAAATCGAGTTAATTTATTTTTATATGGATAAGTTTTCGAGATATTTTCAATTTACCGTTATTCAGCTAAAAAAAAAAGTGGTTTCACTTAATCACGTATGTATAATCTTAATACGAATTAATGGCAAATGAAAGCTGAAGTATACATTACTTTTCGATAGGCCTGATTCTGGGAAATTAATTAATTATTCCGAGTTTTTTTTTTTTTTAATGAATACATTAAAAATTTAAATTTTAAGAGGGAAAAATTAAAAAAAATGCAGTTTCTTGGTAAATTTTTGTATGAGTTGTATGAGACACTAATGAAGAAAATCGATTGATAGAAAAAGGTACGAATGGTCAAATGAAAATGGGCAAATATTTTTTGTATAAAAAATTTTAAGAAAGGAGTGTACATGGCGAATGAGTAACATTATTTCCGGCTCATTTTTCATACATAGGCATTGGTTGGATAGGAGCATCCGTGGAACAGAAAAACACAAATCTGTGATCCAGTGTTATCAACTATTTCGCTGTATGAATTGCTCCGAACCAAAGCCATTTCACAACTCAACTACTTAAAAAAATACGAATTATTGATACTGAGTCTAGGCAGAGGACTCGTCAAGCCTGTTTACTTCGCCCTAGACTGGCCAGACCTACAAAGTTGGTTATTGTTGGTATTGTTGTAGCAGTTATTTTCTCCCAAAAATTGCCCAGTAGACATCTTCATCATCTGATATGTTCAACCGAAGTTGCAAAAAAAAGAGGGGGGTCTGCCTTGTTTGAGTCCAAACGTCTCCGATGATATCAAGTATTAGATTGGAAGGGTATATATAAAATAGTTTCGCATCCTAAGAAGGCGTCAGCGATTCCCTAAGTTACGCTGGCTCTGTAGGAGTTGAGCCTGCTATACCAGTTGAACCGGTGTTGCTCTAGTGATCTTGTCTCGCACAGCAGTCCATCTCGTCGGCGTGATCAGGAGGGGACAGCTTCTAGCACTATGTTTCTGCTGGAGATGGTTATTGCAAAGACCAGACCCGTAGTCATGTGTTCAATTGCTAGGTATCCCACCCGGTTTATCGGATCGCAAATGTGTTGAGCATTTCTCTGTCACGGAGAGTAGTTTGAAACGTCTGGCTACGTTTACCTTCAGTTGATGCCGCACTTCCTTAGTTAAAGTTGTGAACAAAGTGGACATGGATATGGTGACCGATACTTGTAAGTTACGTTCCGTCAAAAACAAAAAAAAAACGTTGTTTTTCAGTGGAGGCCAGCTCGTCATTGTTTTGTCCCTTATAGAACAGTCATCGGCGTATTAGTCGAATGAAACTCCCTGGGGCGACTGTGAGGAGGGATAATTGTTGGGCAGGAAGCGGCGGTGAATGCCACCTTGCGACTCACTGTTTTATCCTGCTGAGTTTTGAGGTTCTATACCTAGATACGGCGGCCGATGACTGTCCACAAGTAACTAGCGATCCAACGTTTTGTGAGAGCTGGAAGTGACAACGATGGGATATAATTAATTAACGAGTCGGGGTTCTCGGAGATTTCCCAGGGCTCTAGAGAGGGCCACTTTCGCTTTCTTTCACATGCAATTGGTAAGATCACTTGGTGTTTCTATTGCTACATGGTCCAAATTTTTTTAATGTTACAATCGCCAGATTTTTTCAAAACCTAAACTCTATACGAATCTTCTTTAGTTCGTGGTAAGAGGGAAGATCGCAGACATAGGGGGAGTTTTCTCTTTCTTCCCTACCCCATATGTCCCTGAAATGTATCCGTCAGTGTAAGTATGTATGTAAGTAGCCCTGCAAGCATCTATTGGGCCATTGGTCATTTTCGATAGCTAAAGTATTAACGATAGCCCCAGGAAACGCATGGTTTCAGCAGGTTGGAACCGAAGAAAAAGGGTGAGTAATTTTGAGCGAGCAGGGGAAGAAACGGTTACTGCCGCGCGGGCTTTCTTTACAAGTTGGACGTATTTTGATACGCCAGTTCCCGATAGCTAGGAGATTAACCCAGGTACCAGGGTTTTGATAGGTTTACAACTATGCCTACTAGTATGTTTTCGAACTGGCTTGCCCTTAGAACTTTTGATTTAGTTACCGTTGGATTTGGTGTTCCATCAACGCGAATGTCAAATTAAAGCTTGAACTCCTTCCTCCATGTAGTAAAGAGGGTAGTCTTGATTTTATAGAGGAAAAGGAAGTGCTGTTTACTGTGAAGGTGTAAGAAGTCAGAGACATAACTGTTCATCTTCAAACATATGTAGGTCATGAATTAAATTGCCAGACGCTAATATTGAACAATCGTCATCATATGAGATCAGGGTTTGGAGTGCAGATAAATAAAGGCTAATCGCAAGTGGCGAGAAGGTGCTACCTTGTAGGAACCCTTGTTTATTTTCTCGATTTGTATGTTCGCCCTAGGGAGATCAATGACTACTATTGACGACCTAAAAAATTCGCAGACAGTCACTTTAGTAACGGTGAGAAATATCTTCTATTAGCCTTCGATGAACCGAATACTACTTAGTGTCGTCTTCTCATGTAGGTTTTAAAATTTAACTGCCTTTTAAACACACTTTTTCAGAACAAAATTTGCGTTTAAAGGATTTGCGTTAAATTTAACAACCTACTTGAGAAAACGGCCCTTAGACTGTTTCCCTGTCCTCTGGTGGCAAGACTTATTATAATGCCTTCGACAAAAGTCGTAAAATTAGTTTTCTACCCTTTTCGTTAGTTTCTTTTTACGAAATTTCTATAACCTAACTTTTAGGAACCTTTATCTGGCCATCACTGTAAACATGTTATAATATTATGTGCGTATGTATATAAATGCCAAACTTACTACTGTAGGCCATCACGAGCGCCTGTAACGAAGGGAAAGTCTGATTTGTGGCAATGTAGTAGCCACCATTGTCGAGCGGTTTGATGCGATAGTGCTTCACATGGTAGCCACGGCCATCTTCCCAATCCTTCACCGACAACGAATATCCATTAGGATTGTGTTCCGACGGGCGTACGAGAAATGTGCCGCGCGGATTCTCTTCCGCCAACAAAAGCTTGTCGGCTTCTTTGCGTAGCACATTTTCAAAGAACCAACTGGGTAAATGTGAAATCGAAAAAAGAAACGTACATACATACAAAATGTTTATTAAATCATCAGCACCTTGTAAATCATAAAAAAAAAAAACGTCTACATATACAATCTACTTACTCTTCGCTGTTGACACTGCGCTCCTCGGCAACAAAGTTTAGCGGTATTAAACCCTCCTGACGTGTGCTCAAATTGACTACGCGCCACCAATCGGATTCGGTGTCGTCGATTACTTCCATCCGGTCGCCCTTCATGAAGCTCAAATCAGATTCATCGCGCGACTTGTAGTCGTATAGGGCGACAACGACGCGCCGCTTGGGTAGGCCACCTTGAACGCCAGCTGTAAATAAACCGGAAAGTGGAAGGAGAAGAAGTGGTAGAAGTTATGAGCAAATACGTTTCGTAAATTGGATTTATGCATAGGGGTTGACATTAATTAAATTTTAATGTACGTACAGTATGTGAATGAAATAAACATTATGATCATTACATAAAAAAAAAATACAGGTATAGCTAGTTAAAACGTACCTGTTTGGGATGAATTCAAAAATCTGTTAATTCTTGTCTAATTATTATAATTTATGTACTTAATAAACGTTTTTGCGATACAAAGAAAATTGAAGTTTTTAAATTAAAAAAATAAATAATTTCACAAAGAATTGTTTTAATTTTTTTGTAAAATTTTTAGATTTTTCACGAAAAAAATTCGATTTGTGATTTTTTTTTTTCGTTTAACAACTGCAACCGCGTTCAAGCTTTTCGTGGGCATACCTGTTTAAACGTGTTCAAACTTGCTTCTTAAAAACGGTTGAACTGTGACAATCAAAGCTTTAGTTCGGCCATGACTAATTCCATCTGTGTTCAAACATGTCGATGACCTCCACAAACTCCTAGGTTTCAAGTTGTGAGGACGAGTGCTAAAAGAAAGCAACTCGAGACACAACTTAGATAATGGAGAACAACCGAACAGCCCTCTCTGAGATTCCTGCTCTAACGAATTGATTATTGGGCTAGAGTAACGCAATCATGCTGCGAATTATAAAGGGTTGTAGGCCTATTGGCCACAAGCCAGATTTAGAGCCACGTTTAACGACTTCTGTAGTAAGCATGCTTCTAATAGTATAAATGTCAACGTTTAAGAGTGAGTGTATGAGTATGTTGTCTGCTCTTTCACTCTAAAACGGCTAGACATATTTCAATGAAATTAGACATACAACTAGGTTATGTCTTGGATTAATATAGGATACTTTTTGAAGAGAGTTGCAACCTTTTCAAAAGTTGAAATCAATTAAGTAATATGTAAAATCAAATATTACAACATTGTGGATGTGAAACGAAAGGGATTTTTTCACTATTTATTTAGAAATAACTTTGAAGAGGGTTGCCACCTGTTCAGAAGTCTGAAATCAATTCAATTAACAAGTTAGATAAATTATTTTATCTGGGTGCCAAAGCTTTATTTCGAAAATGATATTTAAGAGTGTTGCCACCTATTTTAGAATTCAAACTCATTTTAATCAACAAGTTAAATGAATTATCTTATATGCGAATCAAATCAACGAGAGATCTGAAAAAAATACATTTTGAAAACATTTTTGAATAGAGTTGCCACCTGTTTGGAAATTCAAGATCAATTTAATTAACAAATTAAATGAAATATTTTAATATAGTTGTCAAACGAAAGATTTAAAAGGCTTTATTTTTAAAATATTTTTGAAGATGATCGCCACCTGTTTAGAAATTCAAAATCTTTTAAACAAATTTAATGAAATACTTTAATATGGGTGCCGAACGAGAGATATGTAGGTATTTAAGAAAAGCCTATGCGTAAGTATTTTTGACAAGGGTTGCCACTTGGTTAGAAATTCAAAATCAATTTAATTAACAAGTTAAATAAAAGACATACTTTAATAGGAGTGACGAACGCGTGAGGTTTAAGAAAAGTTTATTTCAAAAATATTTTTGAAGAAGGTTGTCACCTGCAGTGTTGCCGTTGAGAATTTTCAGAAAGTCGCAAAAAAGGGTAATTGACGAAAAAAAGGGTCACCATATTATTTTTGCTTTTATTTACTAATAAAAGCATAAATCTGTTGAATTTAAAATGAAAATAGCGGGACAAGCTTTGCACAAAACTGGGCTGCAAACATACACATAAATCTAGTTGCTGCAAGGAGAAGAATTGCATTTCCTTTAGAAGTTTTAAGTGATGCATTTTTTCGTACTTATAGGAGAAAATATTTTTTAATAGCATGGTTCTGATAAAATTTCCTAAAAAAAAACTCTCAGAAAAGGGGCCAAAGTCGCACATATGTAATTTTGGAAAAGGGGCAAAAAATCAAAATTTTCAAAAACTCTGGTCATAAGGTATTGGCGCTTAAAAATTGTCAAATTGCCCCTTTATCCGAACAACGGCAACACTGGTCACCTGTTTAAAACTTTCATTGACTCGAATGAAATATTTTAATATGGTTGTTAAACGAGGGAGGTTACACTAAACATGTATCAGAGAACCCCAACTAAGACTTTGTCTCACTGGATCGGTTGTTCAGATTCGCCAAAATATTTGGGTGCTTTAAAGACAAGGATTCCGGAAAATCTTCCCCTGGGCGAAGGAATAGCTATCCAGTGCTCTCTTCATAAGAGCAGCCCGTCCAAACCAAACTAAGATATAGGTAGATTACCTCCGGACCGATTTCAAGAATTTGTGTTTTATGTTCGGTTGGAATTTGCGATGGAATCAGTGAAAAAATCCGTATTTTTCACGCTGATAGTTACATATTATGGCGTCACATAGTCCAATCATTGGAATACGTTCTTCTATGTAGACGAGTATTGAAGTAAGTATAAATTTAAACCCTTTTGATACACATTTTTCTATATTGTATTCATTATTCCAGCTTACTGTAATCGACAGCTGCACCAGTTGGCTTGGAATATAAGGAGTTTAAAGAATTTTGTGAATTTTCGGCACATAACCACTCTTGAATAGAAAATTTAATAACAAAAAAAACGGCATTTAAATTGCTAAAAAAAGTATAAATATCATTAGAGGCTGAGCATACAATTCTACAGCTGCATGCCATGCAAACATACATACAAATGTAGACACCAAGTGACATGACATGGAATCTCTTGTGCACTTTCATATTTCTCTTAGCTACATTTCATTTCACAGCAATCTACTAATTGAATAAAAAGTATTGAAAAAAGTAGTGAAATTTTTAACTAGCGAGGGGAGCAGATATATACATGAAACATGAATTAATATCGCATTGCAATGCCAACTATATCCAAGCGCACTTACTGTCGCTAATTGTATTGCACTATTTACTCGACTGATTTTTTTCTGTGTGCGTATGTGTGAATGGTAAAAGTTGAGAAGTAGAAAAATTCGCATGTAAATGGAAATGTAAATAATTGCCTGCCGACCAGTTGCCAACTTGGCTTTTTAAGTAAGGAGCCTTGGCCTCGTCATACATACTCGTCGCGCAATGCAGCATGCAACATGCAGCATACCACATACACGCACTGCCATCTCCTATCAATGTGGCACACATGCGGCGAGCAAGCATATCGGTATCAAGTGGCATTTGTACAAGTGCTGCACATAGAAAATCAGCTTTATTCTATGCCTTTCAACTTTGGCCTGCAAATGGAATTTGCTCAAGCTGGCTTGTAATGCTGAGAAAGGCCTCAATAATGAAGACAGCAGTCGTGCGGTAGCTGGGCTGTTGACTACTAACATGTAATGCTATGGCAGTATGTACTGCAAAAATTAATGCTTCACTGGCGGGGTCTCGGCCTCATCGTCGTTCAGCGAGCTGGTGCTGTAGTCTTGCGGTCGCAAAGTTCAGCAGCAGCCGCTGAAGCGTTAGCAGCAGGCGTATGCCAGAGGGCAAGTTTCAATGTTGAAGCTCGCGAGTGCACGCACAAATACACACACAAGCACATACATATGTGGGCAACGTAATATTTAATATGTAGGTACAATGGCGTGCAAAAGTAGGGCATAATACTAGGCTCATTCCTTATTTTTGCAAGGGTTATGGTTTCCGAATGCGAATGAGCGAATGCGAATGCGAATATTAGGAATAACATTAAATGCTTAAGGCATCGTTTTTATTACTTAAAAATTTTGTAAATTATTAGAACATTTAACGAGGGCTTAACCTATACAGTGTTTTAATCTAGTAGTCAAAGTTCAAAAGGGGCATATTATATTTCAAAAAAAGTAATTTTGCTGCCTTTTCTCCCATGAGGCGATTTATTAGAGCCTCGTATATAAGGCCGGAACGCTGGCAGATGGATCCCTCAAATATTTTCGGGCCAGGTCTGTCAATATGTCTATTGTAGTTTAGTTTTCCACCAATCGAGGGGATTTTCACAGAGATGAGTTCGTTTTTCTTTAAGACAGGCCTTCAATTGGGCTTTAATTTCACATTTTTTAATGTCTCCAGATTCTAAATTATTTCTATCAATGTTGCTTGATATATTACTGAACCGTTTAGCGCCTGAAGCTAAAAGCCGGTTATTGTCCGCACCCTGGTTAGACAGACTTAGAGCCATTTCAACAATATTAGAGTGGACTCTCTTCCCATGTACATATTCGCATTCGCAAAACATTCGTATCATTTCATGCGAATGCGAATGTCGAATGCGAATGTGTAAAATGTGGCGAATCATTTGCATACCGAATGCGAATGAAAAATATTCATAACATCCCTGTATGTATGTATATTAGTATGATATTGAATACAAATAGGAATGCGAATACGAATATGAATATGAATATGAATATGAATATGAATATGAATATGAATATGAATATCAATATCAATATGAATATGAATATGAATATAAATATGAACATAAACACTAATATGAATATGAATATGAATGAGTATATAAATACTAATATGAATATCAATGCGAGCTAATATGAATATGAATAGATAAGCATATGAGAGGACAGATCTTTGCTTTCTCCTCAGCTACCTACCAATAGTGTCCTCGTCCAGTGCGCTGCACCACACAAGGGAACCATACAACCAGATTGCTCACCCTATCAGAGTGTGTTGGGGGAAAGCCGCCCATTGAAGGAGGTAGTCAAAGCTTAGTTCGAGAAGATTTTGGTGAAATAAGATTTTCCGCTTAACCGTACCCTAACTAAAGACAGTCAAATTCGTGTTTTTTCATACACGATTCATTTTGAATGCGATACTTTTTTCCGACACTGTACATATTTAACTAAATATAAAAACATTTCATTATTCAGCCGCGTTAAGTCGTACTTAAGTGATATTGTGCTCAGTCAAGCGAAAGAAGAAAAGTCGTCGACGCTGGGGCTACATGCTGTACCAAGTTATGTATGTATGTACATTAGAGTGGTCCAAAAAAAAATTCCCCGAGATAGGGTTGGGGCAGCTTCCAAAATTTTTCCTCTTGCCGAAAGAGGTGCTTTACGTCTCTAAGTGTAAAATTAGAGGATGCTATGATCCTCATATTTTACTCTAGAAGTAGTGTGTACATTTATTAATCAAACAAATGGTTAAGCAACCGAAGAACATTTCAAATTTAAATTATCTAAAAAAATATCACAAGCTTCAGTTGTCATGACAACAGTATCTTTTTATAAAAATCACCAATATTTTGTCAGTTTCACAGCGATCCAGTAGCGGATTTCAAGGTCATTCAGCACCCTGTTTTGGTTAAAGTAGAAAATTTAAAGTTGGTATAGATATTACGAATATCAAATGGAAAAAAACTAGAATGAAATTTTTTCCCCCATAAAAAAATTTGACCACTCTAATGTACATATGTATATGGTGGGGTAAGTTAAAAATTACGGTGGGTTCAGCAACAAAAAAAGCAACACCGGTTAAATACAGTGTTGATTTAATAGAGTTAAATACATTAAAAGAAACGATCATTTGTGAGGGCTAAAGTAGTGAGCATACGCTTCGTGCTCCTTAGTTACATACTTATGTACTAAAAGCTTGAAGGCAGGGAGTAATGAAAATAACTAAAACGGTTAAAATCGTTGGTAAATTAAAACGAATTTCAAATTTAAACATTTACTGGCATTTCTAAGTGTTTGACCGTACTCCTTCCCCAATTTGTGGTGTGCGTTTTGGTGTTGTTGCACAAATGGAGGAACCTACAGTTTTTTATTAGAAGCTTTTTCATGGCAGATTAACACTTGCAGGGTTGCTATATATTAGGAACAGAGGCAACCGTCTGACCAGCGCTCGAAACTGGGTCCTTTCGTGAAATAGTTTGCACGGCGTTCGAATCACGGCATCCGCGGATTGTTCATCTCGAGTCGAAAAAAATTTAATTAAATAAATAAAAAAATACGGAAGTCGTGATGAGGGCCCCTGCTTTGGCTTTGCTAGGGTCACCCAGCTCCATATTGTGAGAAAGACGACAAAACTTTTTTCCCTGCATTCGCAACTAAAATACTCATAAAATTCTGCTCCAGCTCATGAAAAAACGTTTTTAAATTTTCGTTTTAAGGGCGAAAAAAAAATTTTACCACAGCTTCATGAAAAGTAATTGACTAGACGTATAGTAGTTAATTGAATTTATGGATATTTTGGAAAACAGTTTTCGTCTCACGAAAATTTTTGTTAAAACCACTGCCTAGCCTACCGCCACTAACAAAATTGATTGCATATTAAATGCCATAAAAAAATTAAATCGTCTATCCTTTTACAAAACTACCCATTATAATAATGGAAATTTTCGCACATAGCTTCTGAGTTAAATGAGCATGTAAATTCATTGGATTTCCCAGTGCCCCACTGCGCGTTGCCAACTTAATAATTAACACGTTGCAGAGAGACTACACACTAGGGTGGTAAAAAAAAGTTTAAAATATTAAGCTCTCACCCACTAGGATTTTTATGAATGGAATGAAAGTATTCACATTTGTTTGTAAAAAAAAAATATATATATATTTGGTACTGCGTCAAAGCGCATGAAGTTTTCCAGATATTTTACATATATGGGGAAAAACACTTTTTCGTAGAAATGTTATAGAATCCTTGAAAATCCATATTTTCAATCCGAAAACTCTGCTTCTCTTCAGCAGACTTCTAATAATGATACCCAATTGTTTAGTTTACCATTTTTTTAATAAAAGAATTTTGGGGGACTGATTGAAATTTTGTCGCTTTTGGGAGACCTATGTAAATTTTTTTAACAAAAAAATACGAATGCTTTTTCCCTTTAGAAAAATCCTAACATTTTAAACTTTTTTGTCCGCGTGTATTTTTGGACCGCCCTACTACACACTCACTCACAAGCAAACACATACAGGCAATTGTTACACTCACACATTTACGCTGCACACAGATGCAAGGAGGTTTTTACAAACAGTGACTCAAACAAGTGACCACGAGTTAATTTTTTTTTAATATTCCTAATGTTTTTCGAGCTAAATTTTTTTGTTATTTTTGTATGAAAATACCGTCCAAGCTTTAAAAAAAAAAAAAACATATAAATAACAGTTTCAAACTTTATACAAAATTTAGGATAATTCAACAAATTTTCATCAAAATTTCAACTTTTACATCTGAATCTTTAGATCATTTCAATCTTTAGAACATTTTTGGGTATGCAGTTTTATAGCTCATAGAATTTTAGTGAAGTGCAAGCTTCAAACGGCAAAAAAATCTCGTTAATTTTTTAGAATTTTTTTGGAGACTGATTTTGCGGGTTTTCTTTTATATAACAAGTGCAATTTACAAAATTGGCTTTGATTTTTTGAAATTTTGTGGCGAACGGTCTCTCGTATTTTATTTCATAGGAAATTCTTGCTTAAGCTTAGAATCCAGCGCTAAAGATAAATCATAAGAAATATTTTTCATTATTTAAAATAAATAATAATAAAATAAGTTTTCGTGAAGAAAGAAATATACGAGCATTTTTTTTTCTGAGAGCTGCAAACTGATTTAAGAAATTTTTATAGAAGAAAATTTATGAATATTTAAAAATTATGATTACAAAAAAATATATATATAAAAACTAATACGTGATCACTTCTTTGAGTCACTGTAAGTACACACATATACTATAGACGTCGATAGCATGAATATGCCTACTACTTACTCGGCGTTGTACGCGGGCGTATTATGTCAGCGCCACCCTTGGCGCCAATTTTCAACGGTCCACGATTCGGATCGGGCGTATAGCGGGAATCCAACGAACCGCCATTGTTGTGCTTTTGACCGCTATTATTAATATGTGTCTGGCCGAATGTGTAATCTGATTTCTTATAGCCACTCGGGTAGGCGAGTGCCAACTCCTGATCCTGTCGCTTGCTGCAACATTTATTGCCCATTTTGCTGTTAAAAACAAAAACAAACTGCTTGCCAACTGCCGCCTGCTAGCTGTTGGCTTTGCGCTGTGGCTGTGGCTGCAACTGCGATGCACTCACTTGCACGGTAGATTATAAATAAATAATGTTTATCCTACTGCAACAGCAGCTCGCTCGCCTCCCGATGCCGCCGTTGCTGCTGTTGCTGTTGCCGCAATCTATTAGCAAAAACAGCGTGCTACGGAGGTATGCAATGATTTTGCTTTGCTGCACGCAAAGGAGGGAGACGAATGTCACTTTTGTTGATTTTTTTTCTTTTTACTCCTTTTTAGTCTTTTTTTTTTGTGTCAAATTTGATTATTCATCAGAGCAATGCGCGTTTTAAATGCTTTGCGCCCTAACGACGTTTTTTTGGTTTTAATTTTGTTTTTTTTTTTTTTTTTTTTTTTTTTTTTTAACTACTGGTCGATGTCAATACGATTGAAAATTTTATGAATTTTCTATTTTTATTAAAAATGCTGCGATTATTATTTTTTTGGCAATGCTAATTGTTGGTATTTGGTTATTAAGTTCGACTTTGCAGTCATTTAAAACTTTAATTTTTTTTTTCAAATTAAGTTAAACATTTTCTTGCATGGAATTCGGTTTTGATTTCGAGATCATTTGTTGCACGCCTGCATCAGCGTCTTATTTCATTGTCTCTCATAGCTGCTACTGCTTTTGCTGTTATTGTATGCTTGTTGTTGTTGTTTTCCCCTTTCTTTTGAGATTTTTTGTGAACGCTCCTTTACGTTTTAAATTCAATTGAGATATTTAATTAAATTTACAAATATAAACTATCAGTCAAGTTGTGTTTTTTTTTTGGATTTTATATTATTTACGCTTTAAAAGTGAAAAAATACGTGGAGGGCTTTAAATTTGAAAAAGCTTTGGATACAGTTAGTTGACGAGTGCTTCGCGCCGTTCTACACTGGTCGGCTGGTCTTGACTTTTTGATTCCGTTATACTCTACTAGCGACTATTGGCGGCACGCGAAACATCGGCCAGCGGCAAAGAAACACTGTTTGTTGCAAGGACACGGACACGCAGGCAGGCAGTCGATTATCCTAAGCGCGTTTCGTTCTACTTAATTTGTGATACAGTTATAAAGTTATTGCCTTTTGTAGTGACTATATAAATATGTATGTAGTAAAAGTATTCGCACGTTATTGTGTAAATTATATGTAGTGTGGCACTGGCGCTTGTGACACGAGATAATCCCTCTGTACCGTTGCAGAGTGTTGAGTGTTCGCCAGCACACTTGTGGGGTAGTACTGCGGGTTCTGCTGCGGATTTGTTGATTTCACACGTTCGTTTTAATTTCTTCTCCTTTTGTTTGTATTTATTTGCCGTCGTGTACGTCGTTTACTCCGTGGCGACCTTTTTATGTCGTCGTCCTCCGCGTCGTCGTCGGCAATTTCGTTTGTGCTGCAGTCATGTGTTGCTGTTATTCGCTGTTTTGTTTACGTATTGTTTGATTTTCTTTAGCGTTGTTGTTCTCATTGCTAGGTCGGTATTTCCCTTGACCCTAAGATTTCACTTTGCAGTTGTTTATTTTGGAAATCTGTAATGAGAAGAAAAAGAAAAATTTACTTTTTCGTTGAATATTTACTAAGAAAACTAGTAGAGTAGAGTTCATTAGCATAAATGGAAATGAAGACTTAAAATAAATGGGTTGGAAAGTGCATTATATTAAAATTCATTCGAACAGAGTCCATAAAACCAAAACACATTTATTTTATCAAAAAACTTAATAAAAATTTCTTCAAAATGTTTACATTTCCAGGTATTTTCAAAGGAATTTCCATTAGTATTTCTCAAATTTTATTGGGAGACAAATCGGTTTCGGCACTGTGCCAACTTCAGATCCGTTTCTGGTTTTGAACAAGCGAATAGCGCGGAATTCGGGCTGTCTCCAAAGTATATTTACGAGGTCTGAAGGAAATTTTATCCAAAATATAGAAAATATAAACTCCGAAAAATTGTGGGAAAACTCCGAAAAATTGTGGGGAAAACTCCAAAAAAAAAAAATTTGGGAAAAAATCCGAAAATTTGTGTGAAATTTCCGAAAAACTGCGGGGGAAACTGTAAAAAATCTCGTTTGGAAAACTCAAAAAAAAATAAATAAATAAAAAAATTCGGAAAAACTCCAAAGCATCGGGTAAGAAACTTCAAAACATCGCGAGAAATGCCTAATTGCATAATCATCTCCTTCGTCCTGGTGATAATAGAGTCGCTGTTGATCTTGTAGAAATTGTAAGGTTCCGTGCAGAGAAGAATAATGAACGGCCCTTGGTAGTGTTCGAAAGAAAGATTTTGCGAAATATTTATGGACCTTTATGCGTTTGCCACGGCATATACCGCAGACTCTCCCCGATTTCTAAATGTCGGGAATGACGAGAGTGGCCAATGATAGATTGACGACCTTATTGATACATTCTACTCCTGGCGGGCCAAAGTGTTTTAGTGTCAACATGCTTTCAGCCCATTCAACGCTGGACCCTATCAACCGAAGGATGCAGCGCAAACTCTGGGCTAAAATAGCTCGGGTATTTCTTCGGGCTCGAGAGGCTGCCATCACAGAATGGGATTTCTATCCTGTCATCGAACTTTGTCGAGTTGGACAGAGGCCTCAGGGCTGACCTCAGCTAACTAAAACCAGAGGTGAGGATGCAGGTCTCTAATTACTCTTGCCAATTCGTTAGCTAATGCTGGTTTATTAGTTTACAAATCTCTAAGTGGAGACCAGGGTCCACGGGATTGACCTAGCGTAGATTGTCACACTCATTTGCTCTTACCGCAGCTTCAGCCGAGAAATCACAAGCAATGAAAGCATTATTGGTAACTTCGCGCAAGTTGAAGTTGTCGTGGTAGCAGAGGGTGCAACATTTTGAGAACAATAAGGACCGCATACGTTGTGATCCACAAGTTATGTGACCTAAGGCCTAAAACTGACTCCCAAGTGGCTTTGTCCATTGCAAGAGTTATACCTAATCGATTGGAGTTCAGATGGAGCTGGCATACTCAGCACAAGTAAGTTTCTTCCTCGATGTGGAACTCAATGTTAGACGAAACAGAAAGATACAAGCAATCCTGAAATGTGTTGCACCAGGGACCGTCAGCGAATGGTGGGATATTCGACGAAACAGCAATCCTTGGCGGTTAAAGCCCGGGGTTTTCGCATAACCGCTACCAAGATTTCGCCGTAGCCCGGAATACGGTAGTCTGTCATCAATTTGTTCTGGTATTAATTGATTGACTTCGAGTTCATAATATGTATAAACTAAATAGATGATCGGTACCGTATCCCAAGAATCGTGATGATTTTACCGCATAGCTGCTTTAATTCTGCAACTCCAAGTGGATACTCGTTATCCAAGACGTCTTACAAATTAAGAATATCTAATCATAAACAATTTTTAGCTTGATTTCCTTTTGGATGCTTGTCATTTCAGAGATCATTGACTTCTTTTGAGTACAAAAATGAAGCAATCTCAATTATAAGTTCACTTTCGCAAAAACTCAAACAAAGTCAACAATCTGCTGGCATCTAAAAATTGCCATAAATTTGCTACTTACTCGATTACTTTCATAGCTATTTACAGAAAAACAGTTACACCAAAGTTTGTGCCAACCGAAAAGTTACGAAAACCACTCACCTCCACGAACGAAAAAAAAGTGTGATAATAATAAAAACAAACCACAAATCATTCGCCCGCGCATACGAATGAACGCCAAGTTCAAGCGTGTGTACCACCATCATACTGTATATAGGGGACAATGACTTTAGCACAGAATTGCAGCATTCAACTTGACTGGCTACCGGTTGCGCGTTGCTGCTGGATGTTAACTGATGGCTGCTGGATGTTGCGATACTCGCTACCTCGCTGCCATTCACCTTTTCCATGTGAGATGTTTTCGTCTGTGAAATGTCCTTACGAGATTTTGGTAATTTATTCCCATTCAACTGCAGAGAATGCGCGCACAAAGTCTTTGACCGACTGCGCTTAGTTTGTCTATTTGCTGTAAATGTGTGAGTGCGCTTTGCCAAAAGTCACTTAGAACAATTTTAGTATTTAATGTTTTTTTTTTTTTGTTTGTAAGAGTGCAGTGCTCGGCAAAACGGCGACTCTTGCCTGGCAATCGAACATTAAATTACAGCATAAACGCTTGCAGATGTTCATCATCTTCATGTAGCAGCTGCGACTGTTGCTTCTATTTTTATTTTTTTTTTTTTGTTATTGTCTGGTGCCAAAGATGACAATGACATTCAAGAACCCTCATTGTCAATTGTTGTCTGTCCCCCCCTCTACTACTTACCTCTACTATTAACACAAACAAAATTATTGCTATTTAACCGATCATAGCTCCTTCTATGCGAGTTTGCGTGTATGCGCCAAGGGGTTGCTTTTGCTTCGTCTGTTGCAGCAATTAATAGCATTCAATTGGTTAATTGAGGGGTTTGTGTAAATTGCAACTTGTATCTCGATAATATCCTAGATGTGAATAGGTAGTGCAGCAGGATAATAACGGTGCTCAAGGCTAAATTGTTGCTTTGCAAATAGATTTCAATCGATTGTATTAAGTGTAATTAAGGCAGCTTACTTAGTTGCGACTGGCAACAAACTACATAAACTATGTACATATGTATATATGTACACTGAGGCGCCTGTGGTACTGCAACAAATTCAATGTGAAACATCTGTCTATTTAGGCAAGTATGGCATACATAGCATGGCATGACATTGACATGGATGGTGGCTGCTTTGTCGCAAAAAAAAACTTATTAGTTTTCGTGTTTGTGTGTGTGTGTGTGTGTGTAATTTGTGTGCATAGCTTTGTGACTGATATTTCAAAGGATAAGTTCAACGTTGTGTCACTAGCAGTGCACACAAAAATTTTTGCTGTCAAAACAGATAACAAGTAACAAAATTCATTGTTCGTCCAGTCAAATGAAGTCCAAGCCGCCGCCTTTAGTCGCAAGAAATGAACAAATGGAAACCACAAAGGCAAAATAAGTATCGAAAGCAAAGTTGCTGAAAGCAAATCCGATTGCATATTCACTCTATTTCTCTGCTTTGTTCAAAATGTAATCGACCAGTGCAGTGAGCTGGAAATTTTAAGTGAAAGAGCGTATAAAGGATTGATAATATAATTTTTTTTTGTTTTTTTTTTTTGTTTCTTCGTATTGGATGGTAATTAAAGGGACACACAGTGGGAAATTTCGTATGGAGGTGCGGAATTAATTAATAACTGTTATTAAGGTACCGCAATAAAACTTAGGCAATATGTAAATGAAAGACCAAGAATGGATGGTGTGGAAAATGGGCTAAATCTGACAAAAAAACACGCCCACTTTTCATATAGCAGAAATATGGAAACTAAATAAGGTGCAATTTTCGACTGCTTTGAAGTTTTTTAATGATAGAACTTTTTAGAAAAGTATCGATGTCAGTACTCATATTTGCAAAAAAAAAGTATCGATAATACTCATACTTCCAAGTATTTGTAAAGCAAAGGAGAAAAGCTAATAAAAAACAGAATGTTTTGCTTTTATGACCTCTTCCTATTTTGTTTGAATGGATACGGCCTTTAAAAGTTGAAATCTGATTAACAATCGTTCTAAAAGGGGGTTTTCAAAAAAAAATTGCAATAAATTTACTTCTACAAGCGTAAATTACATATTTATAGGAAAAAAAACGTATATAAAGTTAAAGATATTATATAAAATCACTTTACTTTGAAACGAAATGCAAATGTAGAAAACGAAAAACGAATGTTCATTCTCTTTCATAAAAATTTTATTCGAGAATGGGCTGGATTTCGAATTTACAATAGAGGTATTCTCGAAGTTTTACCGTGCAAGGGCTTTGCAAAACTTTGAGAATACCCCTAATCAAGGTAGAATACATAGAATAACGAAAGCTCCGTTATAGTGCAGAATGGCCAAGTTATCGAATCAAGACCACCCTCTTCCCCCCATTCATTGTCGACTATACTTGTATTTTCAGCAGCGATACATTTGTTGAATGGAAAGAGCAAAACGACCGGTTCCGTCTCTTCAATTTTTTTAATAATTGCTTACATAGTTGGGACAATGATATGCACCATAATATCCGCTTAAATCGGGAATAATGTTAACGCATTGTGTGTCGGTTAAGCGATCCTTTTTGTAAACGCCGGTGTGCTGTCTAAAAAACAACACATTTGCTTTGACAGCTAAGCCGTGAGATTATAGATTATTTAATCTTCCCCAAGTTTGACACAAATAAAGTGTACCGAATAATAGCACATATTTTCATTAAATTAACAAAAAGTTATCCGTTTTTATAGTCTTAAATCAAACAAAACAAATAATCTTTTGTAACATAATCGAGGATATGCTTACTTTTTGTCGCTTATATTTCAATGCGTTTCTTCCCTCTCATTACGCGTTCATTCAAGGTTTTTTCCTGTATCCTTGATACTGTGTTTACATACCTAATTTTTATGTTGGTTACTTGTGGTTTGCCTGATTCTTCAACCCTGATTTATGAGCATAAATATGTATGTATGAATGTGTGT